ACCCGTTCCCTGTGTATAAAATGTACATTGGAAATATTTATATGGACGCTCTGTATATACGGTTCCTTTGCCTTGAGTTGCCCGTGTGTGTGACCCGCAGCCAATAAAGCGCCCGCTCCGTCTGCCAGCCTCGTGCTGCCTCCACACTGCCGGCATCCGGTCCCGCTGCAGCAGCAAACGGGATGCGGGGGGAACGTGCATAAAATGGGGTGAGGGATACCCGTGCTGCCAGAAAGGGGGACTAGGGAGCCAAGGGGAGAAGGTGGGATGGGACATGGATGGCCGCCTCCTGCGCCAGCTCCATCTCGCACGTGTGGCTCTGCCCGGGGCCTGCCCTGAGCTGCCCCAACCGCCTGTCTGGGCAGCAATGCAGCCGCCCTGGGAAGCGCAGGCGCCAGCTCCTCCCATGCAACATCTCCCCCCTGGCGCTGAGCCCTCCTGCGCTTGTGGCATGCAACAGTCCCTCGCTGGGCGCACACACTGTGCGTGCAACAGGCGCACAGTGCACATGCATCACACACACAGTGCACATACAGCACACAGTGCACACAGCCTGCACATGCAGTGCACATGCCCCACGCACAGTGCACACATGCCACAACATGTACTTACAGTGCACGCAGAGTGCGCATGTATCACACATGGAAAGCAGACACGCACATGCAATGTACACACAATGTACATGTACCACGCACAGAATGTATGCACACCACACGTGCAGCACACACACAGTGTGCGCGCAGTGCCCATGTACACGCAAACACACACAGTGCCCATGTACACAGAGCCCATGCACACGCAGTGCACATGCAGCGCATGCAATGCCCGTGCACACGCAGAGCACACACAGTGCCCATGCACACCCAGTGCACGCAATGCCCATGTACACGCACACACGCAGTGCCCGTGCACACACAGTGCCCATGCACACACAGTGCACACCCAGTGCACGCAATGTCCATGTACACGCACACACGCAGTGCCCGTGCACACACCCCGCACACACCCGGCGCGGTGTGCGCAGGCCCAGCCCGGCGCAGGGTTTTCATGATTTCCTGGCGACTGCATTAGCGGGAAGGGAAGCCGAGGGACGGCAGCTCCTCTGGGGCCCATTAATCATCCCCCTCAGACAAGCTGCCTTGATTACAAGTGGCAAGAAATTCATTAGGGCTGCGGCTCTGACAACTTTTATCTGCGCGGCTGGATCTGACTCATTAGGCAGCCAAATTAAAGCCATGATGGGCCCTGATGAAATTCACTGCTTGTTTATCTTGTGCGATCTGATACATCTGCCCATACATCATCCCCCATGCGGGATCCCGCCCGGTCCATCCCTGGCGCCTCCCTTCCCATCCTGACCTGGCCGCTGCGGCCGGGGCCCTCATCTGCCCACACAGCACTGTGTTCACGGCCACATGCGCCTCACAGCCCTGCGCATCCTGCACGAGCTCAGCCCTAGGACGTCACAGCCTGGTGCACACACCACTGCGACAGCAGGTCCAGGCGCCCCTGCAGCCATGTGCGTGTCCCGGCCCTTCACATGCATCATGGCCACATGTGCACAAACTGCACCCTGCCTGCACATTGCGGTCCTGCATACACAAACTGAGCCCTGCGTGCACATTGTGGCGCTGCATGCAGGGAGATCCCGGGCTGGTGCCAGTGCCTGGGTGCTGCAGGCTGGGTGAGGAAGGTGCAGAGACCCAGGGAGCCGCGCATCACCTGAGAGCACGGTGCCAGGTCCTGGCAGCTAGAGCCACCATCACGTTGTTGTACTGTCCCTGGGCCTCCACCATTGCCCTCCCATTCCTGCGCTACCACCTGCCCTGGGAGGAGCGGCTGAGACCCCTGGGAGTTGTGCTGCCATTCAGAGGGACCTGGACAGCGTGCAGAGATGGGCAGAGAGGAGCCTCATGAGGGTCAGCAAAGCAAAGCGCAGGGTTCTGCACCAAGGCAGGAACGGCCCCAGCACAGCTTGGGTCGACCTGCTGGAGAGCAGCTCTGCAGAGCTGGGAG